TGCTGACTGATCTGACACTAGAAACCCCTTATACCACCAGTGCAAGGTTTACTGGAGAACATCTCTCCAAATCCTCGAGCTGCAGCCCCCCACATGCTTGGCAGTGAGTTTTCATCTAGTTCCAAGAAGACCTTTCTTTATTGGAGTGAGAATATTTAGCAAAAAACATACCTCAAAGACCAGACTACCACTGCATTTTGGAGTGGAACAAATCCAGACAGCTTTCATTCTTTTCTCAATGTGAGCTATAAAGTCTGCGAGAATCTCAAAGCACTGTATTACTCCAATAAACCTTTATGGTAAGAGGTATCTGGGCAACAAGCTTAAACAGGAATTGTATCTACTATGAGGGAGGTGTCTTACCAGCGTAAATCACCTTGCTCCAGGGCTGTCTTAAATAACCCAGAGACCCTGGGCACAGTGCCTGAACGTATGCCATTCTCCACGTGTGAGAAAGTCGAGTGAGCTCAGGCTTCCTGCATGTGCCAGAAAAGCAATACATCGTACACAGCTGGGCTCCCTGCACACACCATGCAGAGCTGCTCTGTGCATAAGCAACCAGCCAAATTAATTGGACTATTTGTGTGCACATACAGTAACTCCACAGCATGTACACTGCAAGTCCAGTGCACCTGGAATTACACCCCACACCCAGCCTTGGAATCCCTCTCCCAGCTGTCCCAGGGCAAATCTGCTTTGGGGACAGGCTTACATCAATGTTGGTTTGTTCCAACTGTTTTTCTGTTGTTTTTCATTAACTTCTCATTGTTTTATAGCCCTTCTCACCTGTCGTCTTTGTCCTCTTCTGTCCCTTTTCTGCCTGCTCCATGGCATGGCAGGGAGATACCAGACATGCGTCAGCTCCTGAGCCACAGTGGAAACATCTAGAATTCTGCACAGCTTTTATAGTGCTTTGAGCTCACCAGCAAGGTTTTTTTACCCAAAGAGCTGCACTTTTTCTTCCAGAAAGTCCAGCTGTGACATGTATCCAGTTCAGCCAAATGAGCTTCCTGACAAAGTACATTCCACAGCTAGTGTTTGCTCACCCAAGGAAACCACCCTTTGCTGTATACATGGAAGGGTTTTAATCCTGCTGTCCCGTGGCAGAGAGAGGAATTGGGCGATGACCCTAATAAATGGTCCAATTTTTTGCAGAGCAAAAAAGCACTGGAAAGTGAAAAATGCATTAGAAAACACCCTTTCACCTCTCCCAGGAAATCGTTTCTTTCTTTGGGAATAGTCAAACCTTGTAAAGAAAAGTTCTTGTTATTTAGGTTAATTAATAGTTAATTAATTCTCAACAGTGGGAGCTTAATTAAACTCAACAGTGGGAGCTGGGCTAGATCCCAGGCCAGGAGTGTTGCTAGTTAAGCCTGAGTTGAGAACTGTTAACCTGGAGTGAAACTCAAGTGTTTTGGTGCAATACCACTGTAAGAGAAAAATGGTGCTCACGCTGTTTAAGGGGTTGCCACATTTGCTTTGCCTTTGTGGGATTAGCATGACATGTGTTACTGTCACATTCGTAAAGCTGTCATAAATAATTAGCATACACTTTCTACTTTTGAATAATCCTTAATAGCAACTTTTATTCCCCTGACTGACCTCTGAAGAGGAGCCTCGCAGATAGTCCAAAGAAAGCAGTCCCAAACACCTCTCTTTGGAAGCACTGTCCTCAGCAAATTAGACACAGAGGCCTTTGGAATGGTCTTCTTTCCAAATGTCTGCAGGTTTTATGGAGGCTAATGATGTAGCTGAGAAGCAGCGTCTGCACTTTAGGTTGAATTCAGACATTTTCCGTGCTCAAATAATTCCAGCTGCTTCGCTGGCTTCCTTTTTCCTGTAGATTCCTTTCCGATTGATGTATTTCATACTGACAGTTTTTACAGATATTGGCGCTGGTCAAACAGAATTCCTGACCAAAATCCAGACAGGAATTTCTTGTAAAATAGTATCTGTCTTTCCTACCCAGCTGCTGCTCATTTGGGGTAGGAGGGAAGGTGGCTTTAAATTTGTATTTTAGTTACACAAAGTTAGTTGAGGGTTTTTTGCATTTTAGAATAACTAAAATGGAAATCCAGGTTAGCTGTCGTGTATGGACCATTCAGATGAGTGGAAGCAGGAGAAGAAGAGTGGGACAGTCCATCTCTACAGGGAGCAGTAATGTGTGCACAGAGCCCCCAGATTAGCTTATCCTGGCTCCTTGGTGTAAAACGAAATGCCATAGGGTATCAAAGGAAAAGGTCTTCTGGGTCAGAACATGACGTTGTCTCTCATCCCACAAGCAGCTCTTGTTTCAGCAAAACTTTGAGGTTTGGACTGGTAATAGAAGCTGCAGGGACCTTAGAGTCTTTTTCCATAGCTGCAAGAATATGCTTCTTCCTGTTTGCCACTTACAGCCTGCAGTTTACATCAACAGTGGGATCATTACATTTATCACCTTCAGTTATGCAGACAGTCCCAAAATTGGCCGTCACACTCTGAAGCAATCCAAATCCTTCATTTCTTTGGATAGTCAGTCTAGTGAGAATATTGTATTTTACATGTAATGCCCATAGGAATATAATGGTCCCACTGTACGTACATACACTTACAGCTTATGTCTTAAATCCTGTAATAACTTTAGGAACAAATGGTCATCATGGCTGTAGCCTTTTCTATGATGGGAAAAATCAGTAAAGAAGGAAAATGTGCCATTTGTGTAAGCCAGTATTTTAACATACATGAAGATAACAGCAAATCTCAGGCAGCAACAGAGCTCTGCAAATCAGTGGAATGCTTGTGAATACAAATGCTACAACAATTCCAGTGTACAGTAGCTGTGCAAGCCCTATTCATGCTTATCATGGTTTATTAGAAGTACAGCAATGTGTCATCATGCCTTTCAGGACTGTCTTCTTGCAGCTTGACCTTGTCTCCAACATGGATTTGCATAGAAGATCCTGGGTGTAGGTTGTTCCTTGCAGGCTCAGGTTTGCAAAATCAGAACCAGTAATCCTTTCCTTGACTCTGGAAGTCAGACTCTGCCCTCAATTGTCCTTGGGAAATGAAGCTAAATCATTACTCTGGATTTGGGAGCAATATTTGGGTGTGAAGTTTTTCCTGACTGTGATGCAAAATGATACAAGTACTTCAGAAGTCTTCCATTCATGAAATTGTAGTGCTGCTTATCATCAAATTAGCAAAACACACTTCTCTTGCAAATGGGCTTCTTTATAGTCTAACTGGAAGGATGCAAGCACTGAAAAGTGGCCAGTGATGCACTATGTACCATTATTTTCTGCGTTGACAGTTGGGAAAATAATATTGTAGCATAGAAGTTTAGTTGGAATTGTTTGTTGGACTAATAACAGTTTAAAAAACAAGAAATAAATCCAGCTGTTAGGAAAAAATGTGTTGTTCGAGGTAGATGAACTTCCATTCTGGGAACTATTTTCATGTCTGCAGATCATATGCAGGAGTGGACAAATGGGTTTGCTTTTCCTTGTATACAAATGTAGAACAAGCTGAGCAATTAAGAATTGGATACCAGCCCATTTAAGGAAGATCACTGCATTTAGTTTTGCTTTTTGACCTCAACAGCAGAGTGGTGTGACTGAAAATACACCCGCACTGCACGAAATCAAAGTCTGCTAGACAAACAATAGCAATGTCCTTTTCTAAAGCATCCTTGAAAAATACTCGTAATTTCTTGCTAAGATTGATCTCTGCCAGGAAACTTAAGTAGTCAGTTACTATTTTAAATAGTAATCGGTTTTGGTGGCTGACAGTTGAAGCTCAACTTCATGTGGGGTTTCATTGCACAGAAAGTACAGGGAGGAATGGGCTGTGTTACCTCATAGTGGCCTTAAGATAATACTTGATATTAGGTAGTCTGAAGATTTACAATGGCACCCACCCAAGATTTACCCATGGCACCCACCCTGCAGCTTCCAGCTGTCCTGTTGCTTCTGTGAAGAAGCTGACCCTCCCGAGAAAGAAGTCTCCCTCACACAGTAGCCCCTACAGAAGTACCTGGAGAGACTGCTCCTGAGTACTCCCTTGATGATATTGCAGGTGATACTATTTGAGAAGATCATATAAAAATGCCCAAAGGGACAATGACTAAGCTCCCCAGAAGAAGAATGGGAAAGTGGGAGAAACACAATCCTAGCTGAGGAACAGGATCAGAGAGGTAGCTTTACTCCCTGTAGCCTTCCTATGTAGCTGTAAGATTTTGTCACATAAAATCATGTTTTTAAATTTATTTAGGGATTAAAGATGCAGGTGAGTGCCTTTGATTAGACTCCAAAGCCTCTAAAAATAACAGTTAAATAGCTCCACAGCTTTGAGGACCTGTATCTCGGTTTGCTGCTTGCACAGTGGATATAAGTGTGGCTCTGCCATGGAGATGACTCATCAGAGCCTGTGATGCACCTGGGTACCTTAGTGATGATATCTCTATACAGCCCTGCAGGCAATAAGTTGTCTCTTGGCCTTATTTGCCTCAGTGCTAAACAACGTTCAGCCTGTGCTAATGTGCCATGATGTGTTAATATCGATGATTTTCAGCAGCTAAGGTTCAGGCTGTGAGATCACTGTCTTGTTTCCTTCACCAAGATGTGTAAGAGTAGGGAAGAAATTATGTGTTTATATGTGTCCTTGTTTCTTTTCCCCCACTGTGTAGCATTAATTGGTGATTGAATGCAAAATTTCCTTTCCCCTGTTTGTTCTTACAGGACTCACATAGGAGTTAATTGCCAAAAAGAAAATTTCATTATATAACAGTATAAGGGTTGACAAAGCCCGTGTGGGTGTGGAACACTTTGAAATGCTAATAATACTCCTTCTTCTTTGGCAATAGGGAATAGGCAAAATAGTCTGTGATGTAATGGTCTGACTTGGCATTTACAGTTTGCAAGACTGTTTAGCAACTCAGCAGTTTAGGATTAGAGTTACCAGCAGAGAGAAATATTGTTGCTTGAAATTGTGACATGGTTTTTATAAACTTCCTTCTTTTACAGATTCGGTTAAACAGCAGAGGACTTATCTATTCTGTTGGTCTCCTGCTGGCATCTGTTTTTGTCACAGTATGTATATAGTCTTTTGTTCTTCATTTCCAAAAGAGTGATTTTGATAGACAATTTCTTCAACTGCTCTTTTCTCACCTCCAGCTGTAATAGTGGTTGCGAAGTCTGTTGTTAAGGGATAGGAATGGTCACTCCTACTATAAAATTCCCAACACCTTAATCTGGCACTTTGGAGAAGCTATTGCTTTCATAAAATGGCTCTCATATTTGTATATCATTAGTTATTTTTCATGCTAGAGTTGAAGCAGATCCCTTGATTTATGATGAGATCCATTCTCCCGTTGGACAGGTAGACAAAATGCTGGATAGTTTTCTTTGGCCCTCTGTAGGAACCTTCTGAAATACAACACAGACCAGAACTAATAGTGCTTGGACATGACAATGTTTCTATTGAAATGAGTACCTCATGTTCCCTGACCTGTCAAAGTCCAGTATAGCACTCTAGAAACGATAGAGAGAAGAGGATTTATGTGACTTCTTCCAAATCTTGAGACGAGCTGCTGTAGGGAGTCCTCCTGTGCGTTGCACACCAACACAATTCCCACATACACAAGGCTTTAAGAAGCTTGTGTGGGAGCAAACTGGGCAAAGTCAAGCACAACCTTAGACTGTGTGGCTCTAGATTTTGATGCAGAAGGGCACATGAAGCATTTTGAGTGAAGAAAAATGAACCTGGCCTTTGAAAATGTTTCTGATTGAATGAAATGTGATTGTTCTTGACAAAGTGAAATTCATTGCAGAAACTTAAGGCCCTTGGGCCAGGACTTGAGGTAATACAAGTCAGTGTGGCTTCAATGACTGTGAGGGGGCTACTCTGATTTACTTCAGCTGTGGTCTTCAGCTCACTTGTTGCAGTACTTGCATTGTGATTGCTTCCAGGTGACCATGATCAGTAAGGGGACAGTCATCTTTGTGCTTCTATAATTGAGAATGGCATTTACCGCTTTATTCAAAATGTTCCTGCTGTGGTAGCTTACTCTGTGTTTATTGTAGGTTTTTGGCGTCCACATGAACAAATGGAAACTGGATAAGAAGCTAGGGTGTGTGTGCCTTTCCCTTTACGGCATCTTCCTGTGTTTCTCCATCATGACAGAATTCAATGTTTTCACTTTTGTGAACTTGCCAATGTGCAGAGATCACTAATGCAGGTGGCAGACTGTCAGGAGGAACTTCCTTCTTACCTGTGCAATACAAACCACGGCTGGCATCTTCTGAATGCGGTGCACCTCCAAGTCGTGACATATATCCTCTTCACTGTTCATAGGACCCGTGGCCTCATCTAGGTCTGCCCTCTCCCTGACTCCCCACAACCTGGAAAAATCCTGCATCGATGTGAAGATTATTTTTTTCAACATTCATGTGATTTCCTAGCTCAGTTTTTGAACAGTGTGACTGGGACTCTAGATGAACTGGCTGCTAACTGGCATCAAGCCAGGCAAAACTGGTCTGCTACAATTCCTTCTTTTTTTAAGTTATTTGATGGAAGACTAATCTAATTTATGACTTAAGATTATTGCCACAATGCAGAAGAGGGTACATCGTACAGGGGCTGATTTTCAAGGAGAATCGTGGGAATTTTTTTGGTTGGTGTTTTGTTTGGGCTTTTTTAGTATTGTTTTGGTTTGGGGGTTTTGTTGTTGTTGTTGTTGTTGTTTGGGGTTTTTTTTTTAATTGCCAGAGATCAACGTCCTCTCTTGCAGCTTCTCCTTCTGAGCGTTGAGTCTCCTCTAACGATCCAAAGGTCACAGGGCAGTGTAATATGGAAATACAATTCAAGGTACTCAGCATATGAATGGATTTACTGCGTATTAAAAGAAGACTGTCAAGGCAACAGACGATGACTTTTTACCATAAATAATGAATCTTGTACAGGTGTGATGGGGAGCGCAAGGTAAACGTGGATTCAAAGTGAACACTGCTACTATTTTACTACTAATGTTGGAGTTTTATTACTAGAGTGTTTATGGTATTTCCAAGCAATAGTTTGATCGCCAGCCCAGGAGGGCTACCAAGGAGGTGTCCTGGTTTTTAATAATCTGCATGTGGAAATGGAAGGTCAGAACTTTCTCTGCTTCTTCAGATTTCTTGTTTTGGGGGGATTCAATAGTTCACGTCTTATTCGTTTTGAGAAGGACCTAGGTATGTGTCGGAACTTTTCTAAATGAGTTACAGACACTGGTTTCTTTAAAAGGAAAGAGGCATATTTTGCACAGACATAGTTACTGAAGTCATAATTTGCCACTCTTCAAAGAATACACTGGACCTGGCCAGATATTTGTCTTCTTAAGCCATTGAACTTATCTGATAACAGATCATGTGGATTCATCACCCCTCCTTTGGGAGGGAGGAAGACAGAGAGAGAGATGGCACTTTTTAAAATGTGGAATATCTTCAATGCAGACTCATTCACAGATCTTAAGTTATTGTGAAAGTTTAGCTATTCATTGTTCCAATATTCCTGCTAGATTTTGTATAATTCTGTATTAATATGCAGGCAGATTCCACCCCATGAGAAACACCATCACAGCTTCATTTGTATGTATTGATACTGTGGATTCTTGCCAGTGCTGGCCCTTGTATTTACTTTAAGCACTGATCACTTCTAATTCATTTGGTATGTTTTTTCCTCTTTCTTGTATATGTTCTACTATGAAATGTATTAAGATACTACCAGCTAGGTGAATGTTTTTGTCTATGGTACAAACAGTGGCAAATATTGGTAGTAAAGGCACAGCAAACCCTATGTAAAAGAAAGAAAGGAAAAAAAAAAACAAAACACCAAACCCTGAACTACAGCAGGAAAAAAACCTCCAACTAAAAAAGAAAAAAAAAAAAAAAAAAAAAAAGAAAGCAAGCCCCATTCACAGACAGAAAGCCAATTTTTAGTTCATTTGCACTTTTGGAAGTGATTCTTTGGGCTTGATTTTCTTTGAGCAAAATGTTGTAAATCAAAATATTTATACCCTGTGGTTTACATTCAGCTCAGCACCTGATTTTCTTTCTTTGTTACACTAAATGTGTGGAGGCACTGGCAGCCGTTGCACTGTGCGTGGCGAGGAAGTCCAGTGGAAAAACCTGTGTACCGCTGGCCTCGGTGAACAAAGTGTGCTTGTGGATCCCTGGCAAGAAGAAGGAAGGATCCAGGGACAGGCAGCAGAGAGAGTCAATGACATGCCTGCGTCATCATTTTTCATTCTGGAAAACAATTGTGTTGCTACTTGTTGAGCTATGCAGCCTGTTGTTTGAGCAGCCTTCTCCTAAACTATGCCCGCTGGAAGTCCTCTTGCGTTAGGGAGCCCACTGTACCTTCATGTTCCTTCTTTTTTTGTTGCTGTTGTTTCTTTTTGTTGTTGTTGTTGTTGTTGTTGTTAATGAGATTAATAATAATAATAACCACTAAAATGCCTAAAATACTTCCTTAAATCAAACAATGTTAGCAACGATGTGGCACATTTCACTAAAATCCACCCCACAAATACACAGCTATACTCTTGTAGCGAGATGCAGTTGCTCCTAAGCAGAGTGTTTCCTTGCTGACAGAAGGGACAGATTTGGGGAAGAAAGAGAAGTTTCACATCAGGGCCTATTATTACTTCTATTTTGAATATTTATACTGCTGCTCCAATGGAGCCAGTTAGATCTATTTCTACGAAATAGCCATTACCTATCCCGTGGCACAAAAACTGCATGAGTATTTTTTAGGAACTTTTCCTATTGGTGTGCATTAAATACTGTAGTGTATTGTAGCTTTGCATTGTATGTAAAACCTGAAATACCTTGTTTTGACATTTGTGTGTTGTGCAAGAATGTTCTGCAAGTTGTTTGTTCTAAACGGAAGCAAAAGGTACATTGAACTGCCATTATCTGTGCCATATATAAATTGATAAGCACTTCCTATATTGACAGTTTCAGCAAGATGTGCTTATGATTTGCAACCAAATCAACCAGTACAGACCTGGTTTGGAACAAGATAGACCAACTGAATGTGTGCATTCTTGGTTTTGTCTCCAAAAGACAGCTTCTCAAGCTTGTTAGCATAATCAAAGCTGTGGAAAAGTCCCCAAAGCAAAAAAAAAAAAACTCAGCAATTTTTAGCACCCTTCCTGTATGACATCTCCAAAACTCACATAGGCAGTTAGATTCAAATGCAATGCATGTCGATAGCTTTACTTTATCAAGCCAAGCAGAGGACTGAGTCTGAGGGGTTCTCTCGTCCTGATGTTAGATTGTGGAATTTGCCATTAGCTGTGCCATTAGCCAGCGTCTGGCCTCGGTTTCCCAGTGAGAAGCTCAGCAGTGCCCATTGCTGCCCAAACTCTGGGCAGTCACTGGGATGCAGGACCACGGGAGCCCATCAAGGGCAGCTGCCCCCTGCCCTGCACGGTGTCTGGGCTGGCAGAACCCCTAGGGGCATGGGGTGGGACAAGCTGTGGTGGGGCTGGGGCTTGGTGGTGCAATGGTTGGGGGGTGGCTGGCTGGGGGGAAGGAGGGAGCTGAGGCAAAAAGGGGCTGTGGAGAGCCCAGGGTTTGGAGGGCTGGGGGAAACCAGGGGTGAAGCCAGTTTGGGTTGGGGTTTTTTTAAATGACTGTGATTCATTTGTGGTTTTATTCTTTTGAAAGCAAGGGTCACCTTCATGTCTGAGGCTGCTCTGATCTTCGGACCAGCTGACTGTTTTTGTTTCCATTCCTAGCAGTTTCAGATGATTCTTAATGAGTATTTCAAAGGGAGATTAAAGAGCGTTTTCCACAGCGGAGAGCGCTTCATTGCAGCTCTGACTTTGACCTGATTTAAATATGTGATCCCTTCCTAGTTTCAACTCTGCTCAACATGTGGATGGTCTTCCTTTGACAGAAGTTCAAAGGCAGAATGATAGGATATGATACAATATGAGGAGATCTTAAGACATGCTGAAAAAAACTGCTTTTGCCCCTACCAATGCTGAATTTTTACTTGCTTTTTAGTTTTTTCTTCTTTTTTCCCCCCCTTTTAATTTTAATATACTGCACTTTTTGGTAATAAATTTCTGCAATAGGAACACCAACCTGAAATATGTGCATGGCTGGAGATTTTCACTGGTATAATTTGGGTTTTTTCCCTATGATGCTACTTGTCTGCTTTGTTTTCAGCTTTCTGTCCTCAGCTGTTTCACTGAAATAAGTTGATTGGCATGCTTTGGATTTGTGATATTCGTGCTTGTGAAAAACAAATGCTTGTTCTTAACATTCAGATAGATGCGTGACTGGCTTTTTTCTTGACAAAACAAATCAGGTAGAACTGCAATCTAGTTTTAGAAAAACAATGTTCAATTGAGGTGGAGCAACCTGAGGGTAACATTTAATATCCTGCTGTCAGAGCAGGAATTTTGATATGCCTTTTCCAAATAACCGTATTGATACTTGTGAGATAAAATGTAGACTGCATATTGTTGGATAACTTTTTAGAAAACCATAACTTTCTGCTGATTGACAAATGTTTCTTATGTGAAGACTTTTTGGAAGCCCTAATCCTTTCAAATCTCACAGAGATGCAATACTGTAAGATTTATCTGTTTCAAAGTTATACCACTGGAGCTTTAAACTTGTTTAAATATATACTTTAAAAATGAATCTCAGTGGACCATGCTTAGCTGGATTTAAATCTACTCTGTATTCATGAAGTTTAACTTGATCAGTAGCCATTCTAAGTTAGTCTAAAACAGACTTAAATCCAGGTAAGAATGTCTGGTTTAGGTTTGTAGAACTTAAACAGAATCAGTTTAAAGCCCTGCTTTTAAGTAAAGCAGGGGAAATTTGAATATTTGGAAGACCTCAGCCATTTTGCTTCAAATTTAAAGAGCTGCAGAGTTTGAGTATTGGGTGTACCAAGTATAATGCAAGGCTTAAAGTTAGAGGAAGAGAGTTTTCAGTATTCACTGACTTAAGTGAAAGTTGACCTCTATTGAAATCAGTGGCAAAACCCCAATAATTGTTCTGTAGGGTCAGTGTATATGTTTGCAGCCATAGGTCCTGAAAAGGACTGTTGCACTTTGGTTTTTAAAGATGAATGATTTTTTAATTTTCTTACCTGAATAGATAAGTGAATAACTATTAATATGACTAGGTACCTTTAAGGGAATTTACATGAATATCTCTTAGCACTTAGTGGCCTCAGATCTGAAGCATATTACATAAATGCATCTACTTCCACCCAAACTGCTCCAACCTGTTTGGCTGAATCTCTGCAATCAAGTGTGGACAAATCCATTCCTTTTGGAAAAGTTTTATTTATTCATGGGAAAGCAATGAGGGAAGAAGCGTCAGGTTTTTTCATTGTGTACCAGGGGATATAATTTGGCTGTGAAATCTATTGTTCACTGCCCTGAAGCAGCCTGAGAATCTAGGCCACGTTATCCAAGTTCGGGCAGAAGCATCTAATTTCAGGAAAGCTTCTAAAAAAGCACAATTTGTTTAAAGCAACAGATTTTGTAATGTATTTATATAGTTAAAATGAC